TTCTTTGTTGCGGCCTAACTGGTGCCACGTCGCTAACCGCTGTCTATCTGTCACATAGGAGTCGGCAAAACCTCTCTCGTCCAGCGCTATGTAAAGAACGCCTTTAACCCCGCGACCATCACGTCCACTGTCGGCGCTTCCTTCATCACCAAGCGCGTCCTCGACACCACCTCCGATACCATCGTCCGGCTACAGATCTGGGACACGGCCGGCCAGGAGCGTTTCCGGAGTATCTCGCGGCTGTACTACCGCGGCGCGAACGCGTGTCTGCTCTGCTATGATATCACGGACGAGCAGAGTTTCGAGGAGATGACCGGGTGGTTGCTGGAGCTGAAGAAGCATCTGGCGGAGGATGACCCGATCGTGATCCATGTTGTCGGGACCAAGTCGGATATCGTTGCGCTGGATCCGTCCCGCCGCAGGGTACCGTTTGAGCGGACGATTGCCTATGTCGCTGAGCAGCTGTACCCGTCGCAGGCGTCGACGCCGCCGCTGACGGCGGGGATGGGGCTGGGGCTGGGGTTTGGTCCGTCGTCTAGTGCGCTGCAGAGCCCCGACAGCAAGCGCAGTAGTGGTTTCTGGGGACAAGATATCGGCTGGGATTGCTGCCACGAGATTAGTGCCAAGGATGGGGAGGGCATCGAGGAGGTGTTTCGTGTGATCACCCGGAAGCTGGTCGAGCAGCGGAATAAGCGGGAGGCGGCGAATAGCTCGTCGCAGGGAACGACGCCCGGGATTGACGGGGTTGTTTCGTCTTTGGGGAATCTCGATGGGAACGGCAGTTTCCGGTTGGGCCATGGTGATAAGCGCAGGAGTTGGCTTGGGTTTCCGCCGAGCAGTGCTGGTGACGAGGCTGATGAGTTGATGGTGGTCGCGAAGAAGAAGGGGAGATGCTGCTGATGCATCTGTTGTTGGCTCTCTCGCTGTTTATCTTTCCTGTTGTTCATGCATTTGCCATAGCGTCTTTGTGCATTTGTGTTTTGGCATGGCGTTGTCCTGATGTTTTCTTTGGGTCTTCTTAGGTTCTGTTGCGATTTCACTCAGTTGGGCGGCTGATTTGAGCTTGGCGATACTTGATAGATATGTCCTTTATTTCTGATGGGAGGTTTATTGGAGCAGTTTCGCTGAGCAGGATGTTGTTGATCAGAGCACGATGTGCCCATGACGATTTTGACTTATGATTTATTGAGATACCTTAGACAAATCGAATGTATTATGACCCTTGAAGATCCTACTCACTTGTTTAATGCCTCATAAAAACCTTGTGCTCAGTATTATGAGTGCTTGTGGGATAGCTATTTATAATAGTATCGATATCAATTGAACCTCACCTTAGGACACTGTTCCGTATGTATGGGATCCACAGAAGAAAGATCATATCGCTAGCACAGGAGTCATTTTGCAGTGCATCTTACATCTAATTGATACAGACGGGCCGGCAAATCCATTCAGAAGCACATGTTCCCTCTGTAGTACAGTAGTGAACAGTATTAGTTTGCACTCCTTAACGGAGTACTGCAAGTGACCTGCATGGCACTATGCCAGTGATAGCAAACATTGTCATTGCAGGATTGATTCTCCGCTCCCCAGTTGTTCTTGGAATGCACCATATAGACAGTCTATTTTATACCTGTGGGTAAAAAAGGTGTTGAAATCGAGATGAGCCTCGGCTCATGGTGAGTAAATCACTAATGGCACCTCCACACTGTGTCTTGACGTTCCCTGGAGAAGCCTGCCTGTGGAGAACTCATAGAGAGGTAACCATCAATTCAGCCTGTGAGACACTGCAACAGGCAAACCTGGCTATGGTACCCCGATGGTGTTTGAGATAAACTCATCGGATGTGGATCGCAAACATATCAGAGGCGGGATCTTCAAGACCAGACAGATTGACATGACAATATCCTCTCTTGGTCTATGCTCCTTGATGGGTGACGTCGACAATTTAGATAGTCAGTCCAGTGTCTTTGAGAGACAGAGCAGCAGATCCTGGACCCTGGACCCTGGACCCTGGACCCAAAGGCCCTGACGGAGGCCGGCGGACGCAGTGACCATCGTTGAGTTCGGACCCAGAGGATACCTAGAAGTGGACGAAATGGGCCATACCATCGGCATTCACCTCCGAGAACTACCTTAGGTAGAGTAAGGAAATTTCATAATCCGGATCGTTTCAGCACCATCATCATTATTTGTGTAGACAGTCGGCAGCGTTTTCCAGAAGATGAAATAACAGTCAACAGAGAAACAATAATATTGAGTATCTTATCGACGTCTGCCCCAGACTCCGCATGTTGATTATGAAGCCTTGCAGCCCCTGCCGACTTACGGTTTCAAGAGAGATTGAGATTGATTAATGAAAAAGCCACAGTGCGAAGTGTTACTGACTCGCCGTGTCATCGCGTCTTAGCCCCTGCAGATCACCGCCAATTCACCCCGAACCCACCAATCCATTTGATCCTTCCCGTGACAAGCGTCCGTACAATATAGGTCAATCTAGCCGGCACACGGTGTCAACTAATTTTTGGCGGCTTGTCATCCCTGTGAAAACTGAGAAGGCTCTTTTATTATTATGCTTTCAATCGTCTTGCTACTTCTAGGCTAGGTTTTTTTGCCCATTGTTGAGCTGCCTTGGAGCTTGGCATCCTTTCATCCCTTTCTGCCTTCCTGCGCGAAGCTGCTTGCTCCTGGTCCGCATCCACCACCTTGATCTTTCTCCTGCATTATAGTTTCAGAGCGCAATTACGACAGATATTATGCGATGAGACTTTCCTACCGTGTTGGGTCGGCCGCCCTCCTGATCCTCGCCTTCATCCTTATAAAGCGCCATCTAGATACCCTTCAGGATGATTCGCACGTACCGTCCTTCTGGCAGTTCAGCAACGTTGTAGGGGGCGGCGCTGCGGAGCCTGTCGCTACTCCCGACAGCAAACCTGAAAACAAAAAGCCTCAAGAGACACCAGTCCCGGCAGTAGAAGAAACTATTCCGATCAAACAAACCTACGAGATCACTCCTATTATCGTTCCCAATGACCGTGTGATTGTGATGGCCAAATTGAGCAAGGAGGATACGTCGTGGGTGAGCACTGATTTGAATGAGTGAGTTGTTCATGGGAAAGGCCTTGCGCGGTGAGCTCAGGCTGACTTCAGTCCAGATGGCGCAACTTCATCTACACCGTCGATGACGTGAACGCGGTTCGACACACCCCGAAGAACAAAGGCCGCGAGAGTCTTGCCTACCTTCAATACATCGTCGATCACTACCATGACCTTCCGTCCACAATGGTTTTCCTCCACAGCCACAAAGACGGCTGGGAGGCGGGTTGGCACACAGATACACCGGACTATAGCAATGTGGAATCGGTCCGATCACTTCAGACCGAATTCGTGCAACAGAGTGGCTTCGTCAACCTTCGCTGTCAGGGTCCCGGTTGTCCCGATGAAATCCGTCCGTTAGAGAATCCGCCTCGGCCAGGCAAGGAGAACAGTAGAGCCTATGCCAAGGCGTGGGCGGAGTTGCACAACAACACCAACATACCCGAAGTTGTTGGCGCACCTTGTTGCTCGCAATTCGCTGTGTCCAAAGCCCAAGTTTTGAAGCGTCCTCTGAGTGATTATCAACGGTACTACCATTGGGTCCTTACGAACAAGTTGCCGGATGAGCTCACTGCCTGGATCATGGAATATTCCTGGCACATCATTTTTGGAAAGGATCCAGTGTTCTGCCCAGATATTTACCAGTGCTACCAGGATGTTTATGGAAACCCGTATTTCTGGTAGACTTTCTCATGCATATACCCCATTTTGTTGTTGGTTCATTTATTTGACTATGATTGTATGCGAGTATGTTTTTTGTCCCTGCGTTTGTGCCTCAGAGACTGTGTTTGTATATGGTTTGGAAGCCACCGGATATCAAAAGCTGTTCGTCAACATTTTATACTTTTCAGGAGTTTAGACATTGCATTCCTGATGTATGCATCATATATGAGTATGGCTACATATTCACCATTTATCGTGCCTTTACTTGTATATATTGAAATAAGGCGAGTTGGCGGAATGGGACTCGCGCGGCATTCTTTCATTTTCTCCATTCTTCCACCCCGTAGTATGTCTTAGCTTGCTAGAGAGGTATGTCTACTTAGTATCTAGTCTAMTGCACAGAGTCTAGAATGAGGATTGGAGACTTTCTCCATGCAAATGTGTGATTATGAGAGAGACATCATGAGCCTGGGTTTGTGAATTTCTTCAGCCAGTATTGGAGTGCTTGACCTCTCTCAATCGCCCAGTCGACTTTTCGCTTGATTGCGGTATGTCTTGGCCAGTGCTCCTTAGGTGGACCATAAAGCAGAGGGACTAGCAGTAATAAATGCTCTATACAAATCTCTCATCCTAACGGCTCAGAGACTTCATTTACCGGATACATTGAAGAATATTTGTCCTTCGTTTGCAATACAGGGCAGCCAGTACTTCTGTTTGCTGGCGCCCTGTCAATTTTAGCAAGGAGTAATTAACTGTCTGTTCCCTTGATCAACTCACCCGCACAAATTCACGGACGACACGCCAGGTTCTATCTACTTATGCCAAGCTCAAAAAGATCAATGATCCTCTGAATTCTACTCACTCCAATCCCTAGCCCAGCAAAATGTCGCTAGGACCTCATCTCTACTACGACGGCGAAGACTACAAATGCCTCTTATGCGATAGGTGGTTTGGAACCAGAAAGGCGCTGTACGATCATTGTCGATACACCAGTCGCCATGAATGGTGCGAAACTTGCATGCGAGTCTTCGTTTCTACGACTGCAAAGAATCAGCATCTGTTCTACTCCCCAGTCCACAGTCACATCTGTACCTTATGCTATTCTCGACCTCGATTTGATACAGCTTGGGAACTAAAGGCCCATCGCGTCGACTGTCACAATCTATGTGACACTTGCGGCAAATACTTTGACAATAAGAACGACCTGCGGATGGCAAGTTGACTTTGCATATCGTTCTCTCCTGATGCCGCTAACTGTTCTTGACCTGCAGCATCAGCAGCGCCACCAGGCTAGGAATTTGCAATGCTACGGGTGCTACCAGAACTTCAAGTCTTTCTCAGGCATGTTGATCCATCTCGAGTCAGGCAGCTGTCCCTCTGGAACAGACATTGATGACATCAACCGCCTGGCGCGTGAGTGCTATCAGAGTCGCGAGTACATTGATCGAGACGGGGATTACATTTGTCCTGGCTGTGATAAATTCTGCTCGAAGCTCTCTGGATTATTCCAGCACGTCGAGGATTCTCTGGGCTGTTCATACCTTACAGAGGATGGCCAGTGTCTGGCAGAGTTGGAGTACTATATCTCTTGGAATGTGCAACGCTAGCCAGGCATAAAGAGCCTTCTGGCCATTCAGTTGGCAAGGTATGACTAGAGGTTAACCAGAAGGCATGGTTTGTATCCGTGTGACTTTCCTAACGCCCATGTACATAGAATGTGTGAAACCCTGCCGTCTGAACTGGCTTTGTATCATAGAACCCATCTGAGAGATTAAAACATCTTCCATTCGCACGCTCCACTGTAATTTCAATAGATGGATCAATTGAAAGATAACCTGATTATCTTTGTGGATGTTCATGCGGTGACTCCAAGCGATGTTCTTACTCCGCAGTCTGATGCGACGGTGGCGGTGCCCCAGGCCAACACCGAACCCAGGCGGTTTTTGGCTTACTCACTCTGCTGGCTATGTTATGACACACTAGTTCTCAACACCGAAGGTTTCTGATCTGAATCTATACCCTGTTCCGTTCTGGTAATTCATTATTTCTATACAAAATTTAGACGTCAAATCCCAGTCAAAATGGACGGAACAGGACCTACGGAGTCGCAGTGGCTCTCCCAACTCACAGCAATGCGCGAGGCGATTGCATCGTTGAAGCTCCCAAAGGACCCCGCCACTGAACACTTCAGCTATGGAAACGATTTAGATTTGGATCTTGACGATGACTACTCTTCACCAGGAACTGTGGATGATATCTGGGATATTATCAGCTCCGATGACGAAACCACCGATGACCTCGACGACATCAACGGCGTCCCTCTCCCTTCGGCCCCGTCAACCTCTTTCTACGACCAAGCATGGCTGGAGCAGAAATGCCAGGCCATCGCCCTCCAGAAACCCGGAATGAGCGCGCAAGAGCTAGCCCAGCAGATCACGGCTTCACTAGCCACCGACAGCGGAGATGACGAGCTGCAGATGTCGCTGGCCGAAATTGTTGGGTTCGACGATCTGGACTTCGTCATTGAATTGATCGGACACCGAGCGGAGATCCTCGCTTCCGTGACCTCGAAGACGGAAGCCCAGACGGATGGCCTCATGGCGGGAAAGTTACAAACGAGGGCCGAGCGGGAACAGGCGTTGCGGCAGCAGGACTTTGAGCATAAGCATGCGCCGTTATTACCTACTCAGTCGAGATCTGAACCCCGGTACCCGCATGTCTTCAAGACGCACGATTCCAGGAATACGCTCGCGCTGGGTGGGAAGAGATACGGGCTCCCTGTGGGTAGCAAGCAGATTGATGAGCAGCGGTACACCGAGTTTGAGATTCCGGCGTCGAGGGTGGGCACGCTGGCGTCGTCGCAGAAATTGATTGAGATCAAGTCGCTGGATGGACTGTGTCGGGGTACCTTCAAGGGCTACAAGACTCTGAATCGGATGCAGAGTCTGCTCTATGATGTGGCCTACAAAACCAGTGAAAACATGCTCATTTGTGCACCAACTGGTGCTGGTAAAACTGATGCTGCCATGCTGACGATCCTTAATACAATTGGCAAGAATACAGTGCCGAACCCTATTGAACAGCCCGATGCTACGGAGTTTGCAGTACAGGTGGACGACTTCAAGATTGTCTATGTGGCGCCGATGAAGGCCTTGGCCGCGGAGGTCACTGAGAAACTCGGGAAAAGACTTGCATGGCTTGGTATCCGAGTCAGGGAATTGACTGGGGATATGCAACTCACGAAGCGCGAGATTGTCGAAACGCAGATTATTGTCACGACTCCTGAGAAGTGGGATGTCGTCACCCGGAAGAGCACAGGAGACACGGAGCTCGTGCAGAAAGTGCGCCTCTTGATCATCGATGAGGTCCACATGCTTCATGATGAACGCGGTGCCGTCATAGAATCTCTGGTTGCGCGAACGCAGCGACAGGTCGAAAGTACACAGTCGCTCATTCGTATAGTTGGTCTTTCCGCTACGCTGCCAAATTATGTCGACGTAGCCGACTTTCTGAAAGTGAACAAAATGGCTGGATTGTTCTTCTTTGATGCGTCGTTTAGGCCAGTCCCTCTCGAACAGCATTTCATCGGTGTGAAAGGAAAAGCAGGCTCGAAACAATCCCGCGAAAATCTTGACATCGTGGCATTCGAGAAAGTGCGTGAGATGCTCGAGCGAGGGCATCAAATCATGGTCTTTGTGCATTCACGGAAAGACACCGTTTTGACCGCTCGAATGCTGCGGCAAATGGCCGTCGAGAATGGCTGCGAAGACCTCTTCAGCTGCCATGAACACGAGAACTACTCCAACGCCCTCAGAGATATGAAGCATGCGCGGGCCCGTGAGTTGAGGGACTTGTTCGCCGGCGGATTTGGTACTCACCATGCCGGAATGACTCGAAGTGACCGCAACCTGATGGAGCGCATGTTCTCCGAGGGCCTGATCAAGGTGCTCTGCTGTACTGCCACTCTTGCCTGGGGTGTCAACCTTCCCGCCGCTGCAGTCGTGATCAAAGGCACTCAGCTGTATAATCCTCAGGAAGGTAAATTTATCGACCTCGGTATCCTTGATGTCCTGCAGATCTTCGGACGTGCTGGACGTCCTCAATTCCAGGATACTGGTATCGGCTTCATCTGTACTACACACGACAAACTGCACCACTACCTGTCTGCAGTGACCTCGCAGCAGCCAATTGAATCTCGATTCTCCAGTCGACTCGTCGACAACCTGAATGCCGAGATCTCTCTGGGTACAGTCACCTCTGTTTCCGAGGGGGTACAATGGCTCGGTTACTCGTATCTTTTTGTCCGCATGTTGCGCGAGCCGCGCAATTACGGCATCGATTTTGCCGAGATACGCGATGACCCCATGTTGGTGCAGAGACGGCGGCAACTGATCATTCAAGCTGCACGCGTCTTGCAAAAGAGTCAGATGATCATATTCAATGAGAAAACCGAGGAACTGCGGGCAAAGGACGTCGGTCGTATTGCGAGTCAGTATTACGTTTTGCAAACCAGTATTGAGATCTTCAACGAGATGATGCGCCCTCGTTCTGGTGAGGCAGATGTCCTGAGGATGATCAGTATGAGTGGCGAATTTGACAACATTCAAGCTCGGGAAAATGAGTCGAAAGAGCTAGACCGGCTTCGTGACGAAGCTATACAGACAGAAGTCGAAGGTGGCAACGATTCTCCCCACACGAAGACCAATATTCTTCTGCAATCGTACATCTCCCGCGCAAATCTCGAGGACTTTGCTCTGGTTTCCGACATGGGCTACGTAGCGCAGAATGCTGCTCGTATCTGCCGTGCTCTCTTCATGATTGCGTTGAACCGCAGGTGGGGTTATCAATGCCAGGTAATTCTGTCGCTCTGCAAGTCTATTGAGAAACAGATCTGGCCTTTTGATCACCCATTCCATCAGTTTGATCTCCCACAACCGATCCTCAAGAATCTGGATGAGAAGCTGCCCTCTTCATCACTAGAGTCAATGAGGGAAATGGACGTTGCCGAAATCGGCCAGCTCGTTCATAACCAGCGCATGGGAAAGACGCTGTCCAAATTACTGGACAATTTCCCTACTCTCAGCGTGGAGGCCGAGATTGCTCCTCTGAATCGTGACGTCTTGCGAATCCGGCTGAGCCTGTATCCCGAGTTCACTTGGAACGACAGGCACCATGGAGCCTCGGAATCATACTGGATCTGGGTCGAAAACTCGGAAACCTCGGAGATCTACCACCACGAATATTTCATTCTCAGCCGGAAGAAGTTGTATGACGAACATGAGCTCAACTTTACCATTCCGCTCTCAGACCCTTTACCGAGCCAGATCTACGTTCGTGCAATCTCTGATCGCTGGTTGGGTGCGGAGACAGTGACACCGGTCTCATTTCAGCATTTGATCCGCCCAGACACGGAAAGCGTGTATACGGACCTCCTTAATCTACAGCCGCTACCTATCTCTGCCCTTAAAAACCCCATTCTGGAAGAGCTTTACGGTCAACGGTTCCAGTTCTTCAACCCAATGCAGACACAGATCTTCCATCTGCTGTACCATACTTCAGCTAATGTCCTCCTCGGTTCTCCAACTGGAAGTGGAAAGACAGTGGCCTGTGAGCTGGCAATGTGGTGGGCTTTCAGGGAGAAACCAGGCTCAAAGGTTGTGTATATTGCTCCGATGAAAGCTCTCGTCCGCGAGCGAGTCCTGGACTGGGGCAAGCGTCTCGCCGCACCGATGGGTCTTAAGTTGGTCGAGTTGACAGGTGACAACACTCCTGATACGAGAACCATCCGGGACGCGGATATCATTATTACGACTCCTGAGAAATGGGACGGTATCTCTCGTAGTTGGCAGACCAGAGATTATGTGCGGAAAGTGAGCTTGGTAATCATCGACGAAATTCACCTACTAGGCGGTGATCGAGGCCCAATTCTGGAGATTATCGTGTCCCGTATGAACTATATTGCATCGCAATCCAAGGGTTCTGTTCGGCTGATGGGTATGTCTACGGCTTGCGCAAATGCCACTGACCTGGCCAACTGGTTGGGCGTCAAAGAGGGACTGTTCAATTTCCGACACTCTGTGCGTCCAGTACCCTTGGAGATCTATATTGATGGATTCCCCGAGCAACGTGGATTCTGCCCGCTCATGCAGTCTATGAACCGTCCTACGTTCCTTGCGATCAAGAGCCACTCTCCAGAGAAACCTGTGATCGTCTTCGTTGCGTCCCGAAGACAAACTCGACTGACTGCAAAAGACCTGATAAACTACTGCGGCATGGAAGACAATCCGCGTCGCTTTGTGCGTATGTCGGAGGAGGATCTGCAGCTCAATCTCACGAGAGTCAAAGACGAAGCGCTCCGCGAGGCACTCAGTTTCGGTATCGGCTTGCACCATGCCGGTCTAGTCGAGTCTGACCGACAACTGGCGGAGGAACTCTTCGCGAACAACAAAATTCAGATTCTCGTGGCAACGAGTACTCTCGCATGGGGCGTCAACCTTCCGGCCCATCTTGTGGTGGTCAAAGGCACGCAGTACTTCGACGCCAAAATTGAAGGTTACAGAGACATGGACTTGACCGACGTTCTGCAAATGCTGGGCCGTGCTGGACGTCCGCAGTTCGATTCGTCCGGTATTGCACGCATCTTTACCCAAGAGTCGAAGAAAGCTTTCTATAAGCATTTCCTGCATACAGGCTTCCCGGTCGAGTCTACACTGCACAAGGTTCTGGACAATCATTTGGGAGCCGAAATTTCCGCCGGCACAATCGCAACGAAGCAAGACGCTCTGGACTACTTGACATGGACATTTTTCTTCCGCAGACTGCACAAGAACCCTTCGTATTATGGGCTTGAGATTTCGGCGGAGGAACATAATACGATGGCTGCTCAAGCAATAGCTCAAGACTTCATGATTGACTTGGTCGACAAGTCTCTAAGCGAGCTGGCAGAGTCATCTTGTGTTGTGTTCGATTCGGCAACTGGCGAGGTCGACTCAACGCCGTTCGGCAAGATCATGAGTTACTACTATCTCTCGCACAAGACTGTCCGGTATCTGATGTCGCATGCGAAGCCTAATCCCACGTTCCATGATGTCCTTAGCTGGATGTGTTCCGCCACGGAGTTCGACGAGCTGCCTGTCAGACACAACGAGGATCTCATTAACGCCGAGTTAGCTCGCAATCTGCCCTTGTCGGTTGAGTCCATGGGAGACCTGCCGCTGTGGGATCCACACGTCAAGGCATTCCTGCTTTTGCAGGCGTACATGTCGCGAATCGATCTTCCGATTTCCGATTACGTCGGTGACCAGACATCCGTCCTGGACCAAGGCATCCGTATCATCCAAGCCTCTATCGACATCATGGCCGAACTGGGCTATATCCGCGCCTGCGAGACGCTCGTGAGCCTGCTCCAGAGCATCAAGTCCGCAAGATGGCCTGAGGACAACGCACTCTCGATTCTTCCCGGCATCGAGCCCACAACCAAGCTGCAGGGCCTCCCAGGCTCCCTCGTTGCGCTCTCGTCCCTCCCCACAGCCTCCGTCTCCAGTCTTGTCCGCAAACTACAACTTCCTGCACAATTCAACAAGGCCGCCTCGTATCTACCACAGGTCTCCGTGTCCGTCGCCAATGTCTCCTCGACCGGTATCACTGTATCTCTGAGTCGTCGCAACCCGCCCGCAAACCCCGAACACAGAGTCTACGCCCCTCGCTTCCCCAAGCCCCAAACGGAGGGATACTTCCTGATCGTCTGCAGCGCCTCCGCAGACGGCAAGGACGGCGAGTTGCTTGCTTTGAAGCGCGTGTCCTGGCCAGTAAAAAACAAGAATCAGGGCTCCAATTCCGGCTCTGGCTCCAGCCAGAATTCCTCCGGCAGGAATAACCATCGGAATGGCCCGCTCACTGTGCGGTCGTCTGTCAAGTTCCCGCAGGATTTCCTGGCGCAGTATACCAGTGCCACCGGGAAGGGTGTGAATGTCAAGGTTATCAGCGATACCTATCCGGGGATGCAGTGGGTGGTATCGAATGTGGAGGTGGAGTCGAAGCCTGAGACGCAGAGTTTGCCTGAGTCGTCGAATTATCCCGAAAAGGCGTAGTTCCTCACGGTGTATCAAGACAAGCCAGCAAGGGAATATGGCATCGCCCTTTTCCCCTAGAATATAGACAAGATGATAGATGCGCTAAACATGAAACGGGAACGTCGACTCGTCATATATGAAACTTCTAAGAGTATAACCTAAGATACTTCGCGCCCCTGGTCCTTCCTATCACCTGTACTGCCCGCACATTAATATGTACACAAGAAAAGATCACCCTGGCACCACCGAAACAAACAATTAGCTGTAGTAACCAAAACATCGAGCCTCAATGCAATGCAGAAGCTGAAATGGACGTAAATAAACAATAAATCGTCACCAAGAACACAGTCAGAAGAAGGAAATTCGCTGCCTTTGTTGAGACCCGAGCCAATGCATAGAATGACCCCGAATGCTCACGGAGGGATTTATATAGTTTCGATGCTGGCGTCCTGCGAATTCCCACGCCGATGGCCGTAGTGCGCGTCTCGTACCTGCGGCGTCTTCGCCTGTCGGACTACGAGCCTCTCGTCGGGACTCAGTCTCTCCGCCCTTGGCCTGATGGGCACGATGACCTGCTTCTTTCCTCGCGAGACGGAGACGGATCTGGCGATAGAGACTTCAACCTTGGGGATGGGGTCGATGGCCTCGGTCGCTTCGGTGTCCTCGTTATCGTCGCTGAGGGGCATGCGTGTGGTCGAGAACCGGGAGATTGCGGAAAGAGTTTCCATTGGAGATATATTGCGCTCGGTCTTGTCACGCGCAGCGGAGTTGATGGGTGAGAGGTGGGGTGACGGGGCGGAGCTTATGCTGGACCTTGTGGATGGCAAGGCTTGCGTGTTAATCGTTAGGGCCAAGGGTGGTGTTCTCTGCCTTGGGCTGGGAGTTGGGTTCTGAATAGGGCTCGGACTTGGACTTGAGGCCTCCCTTGTCGGCTTCTTGCTGATGATTTCCCATTCAGGCTCCTGTTCTTTGTCCAGGTAGATTTTCGTCTGTTTGAGTTTGTGCAGAAGGCTTTCTTCCTCAGTAGAGTCCATTGACACTGTTGACAGAATCGACGAGACAGAGTTCTTGGTTTGATGCGACACGGGGGACTTGATGGATGGACTCTGCACCATCAAGAGGATGTGATTTGGATCATTTGTGGGTGTCTGTCGGCCTAATCCAGCGAGCGATGTCTGGCTTCGATGGAAAGGGCTGGGGCCTCTTGGTATGTTCTGAGAACCCAGAACCTTCGACGCCTTACAGATAGGTGCTTGCGCGGGGAACAGATTGAAGCTGTGAAGTCGTGGTTGCGGCGATGTCGCCCGTCGTCGAGGTGGTTGAAAGTCCGGTGATGGTATGGATGCCTAATCACGGCTTCAGTCAAAGAAACATAGTTGCGCAGAAAATCAGGATACATACACCTGGCGTTGGGATCCTCACATCTTCCAAAGTCTTACTCCGCCTCTTCAACAACGAGGGCTGGTTTCGATTCAAAACACCGCCAAACATGACACTATACCTTTCTAGCTGGATGTCGGGAATGTCGATTTGCAGAAAAGGTCCTGCAGTGGGTGGCTTCGCACCAGGTACAAGGTCCTTATTCTTGGCTGAGCCTTGAGGAGCCGTCTCCAGGTTGCTTCGAACGTAGGATTTGGGTTCATTCCCCCCATCGGTACACGGCCATATTTCTAGGTGGGGAGGATTAGGAGGCGTAGGAGCCATGTTCTCAGCCTCCAATTTCCCAGCCTCGCATTGGCGTTCGTAGTCGACTGAATGGGTGGACTCCTGTAGAGGCCACTCCTCGTTACAGCGAAGCTGATAGAATGGCTGGTTGGGGGTAGCTGGCCATGCATTCTTTGCCTTGAACAATCCGCCAATCTTCCTCCATTTGCTCGGTTTGCGCTTTGAGGGTTTCGTTTGGGGCGAGGCTTTTTCGGAGCTCGCCGAAGTTGAAACAGGCGGCTGTTCTTGCATTTGCGAGAGTATACTCTGCGGCTCGGCCATGCGAGGGCTACCTAAGGCTATGCCGATCATGTTTGCATTCGGATCGTCATCAGGGCTCTTGGGTAAAGGTACTGCTTCAGCGGGAGGTACGGCGATCTGAAAGTCGAAACCGGGATTGAGAGATTGCCCCTTCTTGATCGATTTACGCCCATCTGCTGTTCTGGGGCGCTGAAAGTCCCATTGCGCAACAGCGCGGTTTACAGGGCGGCTGTTGTTGGTCACGCTCTCGACGTCTCTCAGATCTGTCCGTGGTAATGGGTCCGAATACTTCAGAACAGGGTTTGACATGATCTCTATTGCCTCTGGCGCGCGCGACCTCCCTAAGAAGATGCCTCGAGCCATTCTGCTGGCCGACTGCTGGTGCAGCCGTTCCCGCAAGAACAAGGAAACGAAGCGAGAGTACAAGGAGAAATGGAAAGAGTGAACGAGAGTCTAGAGAATGAACGAAGGACACAGTCTCGAAATTAAAAAAGAGTAAACGAATGGACAGCCTTCCAGAAGGCCTTCGGAGTGGTTGTGAGCAATGGCGGAGTGAGAAAGCAGCATTAGCAACGACAGCGAGAGTGGCCTTCAAGTCTGATAATAAAGGGAGGCCCAGCCACGATTCGCTCTGGTGTCTAGTAACTAACCATTGTGGAGCAACAGGAACAGATTGCCTCTGGTTGATATTGTTGGTAGCGGGCTGGCTAGTGTCAGATTTTAGATTAAATGTAGATTTGACGACGCCATCAGATATTTATCTAAGGGACACTTCATCTAGCGCCGCCTCGGGACAAGAGACGATCAGTCGAATAATCTGTGTAGCGCGAGCTGTATACTGTCCATCTGACCAGCATCGTCGGGAAGAGTCGCGCTGAGCGATGCCAGTGCATCAGCGCACACTGCAGTCAGGCCATGAAGAGTCGCACAGGACGCTTGATTTGATTGCGGTATCGAAAGTTGTCGCAGGATTCGAGTCCAATGACCCAATGTCCAACCACGGGGCGTGCAAGATTCGAGTATTCCGCTGGCGTACCAATACTAACAACATCAAATGAAAGGATTCGGGAGCTCCTGTTAGGATGCCCGAGACATTAAAGTGCGAAGTTTCATTCTATCTGAAACAACGGCGGATCAGCCAATGATCTTTCCACGCCCGCGAGACTAAGGTAGTTTCAATCTCACACATCTGGCTAGAACCCCGGGCTGTCCTCTCCGTCCACGTAATGAATTGGCAGTCATGGTACCTTGGCAATAATCATGGGAGAAGCGTGATGATCAACAAGTAGAGTAGATATATGTTAAGCGCCAGGAGCTGCCCTAGCCAGCACTGGCCTCTTGTCACGCTATGATTTTGCAATAAGGCTGAGTCGTCCGGTAATTCGCCCAGTGGTCTGAAAACTTCGGGGAGGATTTTCGCAATGGACAATGATTTAGACTAGAACACAGAGACCTCCCTTCACGTGAGATTGCAATGGAAGTGGTTATCCCACTGGCAAGGCAATTATGAACCTCGCGATGAAAACAAATCCCATGTAGCTATTTCAATTGCGAATGTTGTGTGACTAGATGAAAAGCACCCTGCATCGTATTGTGCCTATCAATAACATTTTCCCGCATCATCGGCTACCTTATTCTTACATGAAGCGACATAGGAAACGGTAAGGTCATCCGCCACGATAGAGTCGTGGGAAGATGTCTTCGAGGCTATTGCAGAGCTTTAAGGTGACGAGGCAAACTATTCTTGTAGGGAGTCTGTTGAACGAATATTCAGTGCCGTCGGATGAGTCAAGTTTAGTCCAAGTCTTGTGCAAGGAGAGGTTATTTAAGCAAAGAAAACAATAATCCCAAAGCAGCAAGAGACACACATGATCGCCGCGTGACTGGCTGACTAGTGTACAACGATGACAGGCACGTGCCCCATACAAATCTATGAGCCCATGAGTCAAAGACATCAAGTACTACTCAGGCTACGACATCTCAAGATAGGCACCGAGCATCCCTTCAGTATGACGAGAGTCGGGCGCATACATGGACAAGACTCAAACAGTTCAGACCAGAACAGGCGGTGAAGGGGAGCCTTGGGAAGGCCAAAGACAAACTCTGCTGATCGGTGGGTGTTGCTGGGTTTCTGTTCAAAGTGGAACTGTGGAAAGAGACTTGGACGTACTTAGACAAAGCAGAAGAATAGCCTAGCAACTATCGTCAACTATCGTCAACTAAAGTGGTTGGCTTTCAAACTAGAGCCGTTGCGATACAACTGCTGAGAGTGACAGGATGGAGACGCTGGATAGTACATATCAGGGTACATTTTGGGGATTAATATATCAACAGGCCCTAGAATGAGACTTTGGATAATATTCTGAGAGCGAGGAATGGAATCAATTGTCAGTCACAGACTCGCCAACTCTCAGTATTACTTACCATCACGAAGAACAATGGCGGGGCGTTGCCTCCAAGACGGATAGGATAGCCCACCCCACCTTAACCTGACTTTACCTACCTTAGCTTGTCATTGCTGTCTCTTTCGCCCACCACTCTAAATATCACCTTGTGCTCTCTTCCCCTCTTTAACCCACAACCACCATCATCATCTCCAACTTTTTTGCTGTGACTTCTTGTCGCCTTCTTTCCTCCTATTTCCGTCAGTTTAATCCCTGCTGGTCCATCCCTCTTGGCTGGTCTTAACTAACGACTCGACAATATAGCTTCCCCTTATCCGCTCTATACACGACCACCAACATGGGTCAGCACTCGGCAGTTTGGCAAGGTACGGCTATTGCGTTGGATATGTCGTTATAGACTTTAGCTGGATTTGCAATCCTCTATGGTTATTACAGAAGATAAAAACAAAGCTAACATCTGAATTCTACCGAACAGGATATGTTGATTCCAGGTATCGTACATCCCACCTCTACCCCGCCTTCGCTGCATCACCAATCTTTCTTCGAAATCCGCATCTTTTCTGACCTGAGCCAAATCTACCAGTCTGATGGGCTCCGGCCAGTTTGACAAGGCCGCCATCCTGAGCTACGACTTCTCCGACGTCGAGGCCCAGTCCCCTACTTTCCAGGTATGAAGAACGTTCCGACATTGGCATCACATTTGGCGGAGCGCCGGCCCAGTCTCTGGCAATGTCCATGGAAACAAGCACCCTCCTGATCACGTCAATAACTTTTTTCGCCTCGCTATAGATCTCGAAGGAGGAAATCGCGGGTCTGAAGGCTGCTTTTGACAAGCCCGGCAGTGCTTTCGAAACCGGTTTCGTGGTCGGAGGAGACAAGTTCGTCGCCATCAGGGCTGATGACCGCAGTCTCTACGGCAAGAAGGTATTCAACTACATTTTCATATGCAGTTACCGACCTTTGAGGTTAGGGGTTGGGAAATGGTGAACGCTAATGGTTGATCACTATAGGGCAAGGAGGGTATCGTCGTCGTCAAGGCCGTCTCTTGCGTCATGGTCGCCCACCACGGCGAGGCCGTCCAGACCACCAACGCCGCAGCCGTTGTCGAGAACCTCGTCGACTACATCAACAACCCCCGGTAGGGCGATAGAGGAACGCGGAAAAATGAAGTTGTCTTGATTGTTCGATTTTCTATTTCTATTTTTATTCCGAAACGGCAGAAGAGCGGTGTACCACTTTTTCCTTAGTCGGATGTGAAACTATGCTGGTGACCTTTCTTCTCAGCGTCATGTCTTAATTGTCCATAGCACGTAGATATCTTCAATATGTACTGGTTTAGTACACTCGCAATTCTAGAGATGACAAAATCATATGCTATATTCCAAGCCCTTAGGCACGATCGCGATGCACACCAAGCGTTGGATTTGCCTGTTTCTATTCTATGTATGATATAGCGCATCGAAGAAAGATAAGAGCCGGTGGCAGGAGACTGCTACCGACGCACGAAGGATTAGTAATTACAAAATATAAGAATTATATCACATCAGCTCATACGGACCCAATCCATTTTAGCCTCGCTCAAACGCCAATGAAGCGAAACTGCGGAAGCGGTCGTGATCTTCACGCCGTGTCATGGCCGTCTTGACATCATGTCTGTATAGTCGTACACGTAACATCGTCGATACTCCTATTCGTCCCCGGTGGAAGACTCTCGTCCGAGGACAGGCGATTTCCGGCGTGCGTTGTGGCTATTATACCGGGAGCTCTGCGTTCCGTCTCCCACCTGCCAGGGTCTCCAAGGCCGTCTTGATATAAGGACCGACGACCGGTATGTTTCCTGCGAATTGACCGATTGTTACGAGGAAATCGCCGAAGAGGATGAAGAGACCGTATAATTCGATGAGGAAACCTGCCAGTGGCCAGCGGAACAGTATGAGGAGGATGCCTGCTGCGAAGGCGGCAGTGCCCTTGAGTTTTTGGCGGCGCGAGAAGAAGGCGAGTGTCCGTTGAAATCCAATGATTAACGTCAAGCCGATGAGGAAAAGGACCTGGTGCGACATCAGTTATGGTCTTTGCGAAGGTTGTCGCGTGATCAATAGCAGCGGGATTTGCGAGGATGGGGTACATACGTTTCCCATCGCGAGCCTGTGTTAGGTCCCAACGTTAGCATCAATGCTCCCAAAGGATATATCAAAAGGATACATACAGCGAACGATCAAAGAACATCAGAACGCCTCCGAACAGGAACAGGCCCCCTATAGCCGCACCACGTCAGTCCCTGGCTGAGCATAACGGCGGAACGAAGAAAAGGGGAGAGGATCCACGGTAGTGGATTCGGTCTTGCCTACCTGCAGAACAAAAGATAACACCAATTTCTGATATACATGTTAGCAAGCGCTTCTGATCGGATAATGCTCCGACGGTCCTACTTTGGTTGTCCGAAAGCCACATGGTGGGCATCTTGAAGGTTTGTCAGGTGAATCGCGGAGAGTATTGTACACTGTACTCAAATTGAAGGGACTCGTTGCTCGCGTATAGGGATCACAGGTCAGCCGAGTGTCGCGACGACGAGTGCTTTATATTCAGGGAGAAATCTGGAGTTGTTGTACTCGAATTTCTCAGCTTCGCCTTCCGGTCTGGCAGAAACTCAAGCAATCTCCCTAGAACTCTGTAAATAAACGCATGCTCCCAACATTTTCGTTTCTGCCACGTTCGTTTTTGGTTCTGAGGATGGTCTATGCCGGATGCGGTGGGCGGTCTGTTGCGCTTGGACGTCCTACCGAAAACCCGCACAATTGGGTGTTTTTCTCTCGTGTCCTCTTGCCTCCTCTGCCAAAGCGACTTGCAACGAGCTTACGATGGCCTATTGATGGCCCTGTTTCCGCTTTCTATAATTTAAGATGCTGAAATCCTATTCAGGCGGAAAGGTTCTCATTGGACTAACTACGAAAATTCCATTAGAAGACCTATCAAGATCCGAACTCGGAATTATTAAAGGATGAATCGGATAATGTCCAGAATTGATAAGCCATGATCAATCTGGGGTTCGCAACCCCTTCGCTCATGAGATTCCTTTTGCCGCTTCCTGGCCTCTGCCATATACAACCCAAGTATACGCCGCGACGACAGCATCCCCTGGATGCTGTAACTGACGTTCCGTCCGTGGAGCGTCGGTAATAGTCGAGTGCTTCAGCACGAGGCGAAGATCGATTCTCGTAAAGATCACGAATAAGCCGGAGCGCTTTCTTGAACCTGTCTCGAGAGGGGCACGGCGGGTGGAAAGGGTTTGACTGTGTTGGTCGTACATGCACTTGTATCTTGCAAGTGATAGTCTGAATAGAGCAACAAATTAATCTTTGAATTCGGAGTGTCTATATTGTAACCTACCTGCTCTTGGTGTGCAGGAACGTAGAACTTTCGTAAGATGATGGATAACCGTCTATTTCAGCACGACATGAGCTCCTCTCAGTTCGAGATAGCTCTCTGGAACACCTTGGCTCAATGTCCGAATGACCCCAAACACCTCTTTATCATGGTATCTGAGCCGAGTCTTGGGGTCTGTGTATGGTGCCGGAAGCCCCGTGATATCGCAGTAGCGCGTGTGCTGTGACGGATGGAGTGATGGAGCCGATTCGATGTTGGTATATGTCACCGCTGGCCCCGATGGAAGCATTGCCCTTGCGTTCTTCTCCAAGACGAGCGTCGATAGGCTCTGCGCCGCCTGGGCGATGTTCGTGCGAGCGGCGCTTTCAACGGGCGTTTGGCTGCCGTCGGTGCTGGGTTGTAAAGGAGTCGATGCGCCAGAGTTCGCCTGTGTCGCCATAACAGATGCCTCCTTTCTGGAGTTCTCGGAGATAAGTTGTTTGACGTTCTTGTTGCGACGCTGCGATGGCCTCCAGTGCGGGTTGCGGAAGGGGCGTGGAACCTGGGCGATGTCCAGGCGGTTGAGGAGTTGCTGATGCTCCTGACTTTCGGCAGGAGTAGGAGGGGCACCCATGATTGATGATTTTTTGTGAAACGACGATGCGGATGGAGTGGATGATGCGCGGTCTTGACGTTGTAGAGAATCTTAATCTTGATGTCGCGGTAGAAGCTCAAAGTGTCTGGAACATGGTCATCCGCTGGTACGGTAACCAGATGACAAACGGCGGACACTCTCCAAAGTGACCTGGCGCAGTGTTGGGGAACAGAATAGCTGTTGAACGTTCAAGTCCAAATCTCTGAAAATTGGAATTTTATTTTCAGATCATATTCTAAATACTTCCTGTCGCCCATTGCGCGCAGCGACAGCAGGGAAATAAAGACAACTGTAGATCACGTGATACTTGTAGATGATACCTAATAGTCGCGCAACAAATAAACATTGCCTCTACCGAGTACATCACGCCCATCTCGATAACAAGTCAAAAATGGTAGGTTGGAAATGGAGCCTTTCTTTACTTGGTAAACTGATCAAAAACCTTAGGAGAGTCCACACGAGCACCAGCAAGCGCTATTGCTTTCTCGAATTATTGGCAACATTGTATGTTACTATCCCCACGTTGTTGAAGGCCTGCATGACTGATTGCCGGTAGGAGAAACTCAATGAGTCAATCATGGTCATGAACAAGAGCCTCCAGGTACGCTTCTTCTGCTCATGTTTAATGGCATGATGCTCACGGCGGTCTATCAGGAGGTCAACATCCAGAACATGAACGTGGAGCTTGTGGCTCAGATGTTCAAGAACTACCAGTCTAACGTTCTCTTCCACTTGGAAGGTATGGGTTGTCCTACCTCATGGAAGGCTACAGTGTTGCTGATCTGATGTAGCTACGCAGAATCTGAAGGAGCCGTCATAAGGACGATGGGATTGTCCACCTTGTTTCTCTGAATTTAGCTTGTAATGAATGATAACGATCTCATATTTCAATCCAGTTTTTCTCATTCTTCTCCCCCTTTTCTGTAGACTCTGAGCAAGAATTGAGCAAAAAGCGATGAGGTTAGAGAGAGCAAGAGTAAGCAGTCAATAAAGACCTATTATGCAAATCTACAGGCAATGCATCTCCAAAGAGACAACATGGATGTTGATTGCCTGTGAGTGGAGCAATCTCATCAACTGCCACTCAGGCTTGGCAGTATACAAACGCCGCCAGAGTCGCTTCGCTCTCCGCCGAGCAAAGCTGGGGATCCGGATCTCAGATTCCTCCTTCCGATCGCCCTTCACAGTCAACGCTCGCTCCGTCATCCACCGATTCAGAGCAGCAGCATCGTGCGCATATTGGGAATCGCCAAATCGCTTCTATTCTGTTACCTCCTGCTTGCAACAGATTTGACGATGCGGTGAATCGCCCACGGACCTGAGTTGCTGCACCGATTTGTCCTCTACAGCTAGTCGCCATGACGATTACCTCAGTGCAGACCCTTTCGCCCGGTCGCCTTGCGGTCACTCCAACCGAGAAGAACGCGGCGAAGCCTCCTCCGAAAATATACAATGTCCAGGATAATCCGTTCAAAGGGTATCAACCGCCGCAACCTGATGGGTACGAACGGAGCAGGGCGAAGCCCGCTACAAGCGCTATCGTGATCGATAATGGTCGGTTTTATTTCACTTGTTTTCGATGACTGCCATAACATACTGACGCTGGTTTGCTATTATAGGATCAAGTCTTCTCAAGGCGGGCTGGTCTTTCGACAAGTCGCCGCGCCTCATCCTCCCCCCTGTGATGAGTCGGTACCGCGATCGAAAGCTCAACAAAGCTTGTCAATTTATCGGTTACGACGCCTATGTGGATGCCACGACTCGAGGTCAGCTGCGGTATGCTTTTGACCCTGGTACAAATGTGGTTGGAAACTGGGATGTAATGGAGGGATTGCTGGACTACGTGTTCATCAAGCTGGGAGTTGATGGGGCCAACGGAGGCGTTGATCGGCCTATCGTAATGACAGAGCCGATCGCGAATCTGAACTACCCCAGAAGATGTGAGTAAACGCTTGTTCTGCAAGGACTGTGATCTGACCCGCATAGTGATGAACGAGATCCTGTTCGAGTGCTATTCGGCACCATCTGTCGCTTACGGAATCGACTCATTATTTTCGTACCGGTACAACAAAGGCACCGATGGTCTGATTGTCTCCTCGTCCCACACATCGACGCATGTCATCCCTGTCCAGAACTCGAAAGCCTTGCTCTCGAATTGCTCGCGGTTGAACTGGGGTGGCATGCATGCGTCAGAGTACTTGCTCAAGCTTATGAAGCTAAAGTACCCCACGTTTCCCGCCCGAATGACCGAAAGCCAGATGGAAGATTTGGTTCACAAGCATTGCTACGTATCTACAGACTATGACCGCGAGCTGAGCAGCTATCTCGAGTGGACAGGGCTTGAGGACAGGGACCATGTCATTCAATATCCTTTTACGGAGCATGTGGTGCCAGAGAAAACTGAGGAGGAACTGGCGCGGATTGCAGAGCGGAAGAAGGAGAGTGGACGTCGCCTGCAGGAGCAAGCTGCAAAAATGCGGCTCGAAAAGTTGATGAAGAAAGAGCAGGAGCTGGAGTACTGGAAGGATTTACAGCGTGGACTTGCGTCTGAAACGAAGAAGGAAGCGAGGCGCATCTTGGACTCTGAGGATCTGAAAGATGAGGCACATCTAGACCGGCTGATTCGTGACCTCGAACGATCCATCAAGCGCTCTAGAAACCGAGATCTAGGAGTCGAAGAGACTGAAGAGCCTCCTGAAGATATGTCTTTCCCACTTCTGGATGTTCCGGACGAAGAGCTGGACGAGGCAGGCTTGAAGGAGAAGCGTCACCAGCGACTCATGAAGTCGAACATCGAGGCTCGGCAGCGTGCCAAGGCCGAGAAGGAACGCGAGAAGGCACGAAGAGAGGAAGAGGAGCGACTGGATCGGGAGAAGCGTGAGAACGACTTTGAGAACTGGGTTGCCGAACGAAGAGCTGCTCGCCAGGTGGGTTGGTTCCTACCGTGAATTTGGCAGCATAACTAACTGTTCGTAGAATATCCTGCAAAAGATCAAGGAGCGCGATAGGATGAAGGCGGATCTGGGCAATCGCAAGTCGCTCGCCAGCCAAATGCGTATGAAAACCCTTGCAAACCTCGCTGCGGATGGGCCGAAGAAGCGAAGGAGAGGTGGTGACGACGATGATTTCGGCGCCAACGATGAGGACTGGGGTGTTTATCGCACAGTGGCGACCGGGGAACAGAGTGACGAGGAGGAAGAGGAAGACCTCGGCGAAATGCTCGACAACGTTGAGAACGAGCTTCTTCAGTACGATCCCGAGTTTACAGAGAACCACACTCTCGCTGCGCAGTCTGACTGGACCAAGAGCCTGGTACATGTTTTCCTGCGTGGACCCTGGCCATTTGACCCTGAAAGTCAGCGTGAGGCTAATCAGATCCATCTCAATGTTGAGCGGATCCGAGTGCCCGAGGTCGTTTTCAAGCCATCGATTGCCGGAATCGACCAGGCTGGCCTCTTGGAGATTGCGGCCGGTATCGTTAACCAGCGGTTCTCTAACCCAGAGGATCAGGCCAAACTGCTGCGTGACGTGTTCCTCACCGGCGGCAACACTCTCTTCAAAGGATTCGATGAGCGAATTCGCAACGAGTTTGGGGGATACCTACCTGTAGATGCGCAACTGAATGTGCGCCGGGCCTCGGACGCGGTGCTGGACGCATGGAAGGGTGCAGCACAATGGGCATCCGGATCGGGATTGAAGAATTACTCTGTGTCGCGGGAGGAATATCTGGAAAAAGGAAGCGAGTACATTAAGGTACGTCAGGTGATGTATCTCCTGAGACGGTTGGAGTGGAATGACTAACGATGCAATAGGAGCACGACCTGGGGAATGTCACCTCGTGGTAATATGGTTTGACTCCACATGGATTCAATTCAGGCATTCACAACAAGGGTGAGGACGAAGAGATCTACCTCTTACTATGTTTGTATTTATAGCGTGAGGACAGGACTTAGGGAGTCTGGCGTCAGGGCAAGGGCATCACATTTGTGTGAAGGGTTCGCCCAGGTGCAGGTTGATTCAAAAGTCATACTACGAATCGCTTGTGATGTAATAGTGTTATGGTACTTGGATAGTAGAAAAAGACCAATCGCATAGATCATGCTTGATGGATTTTTCAATCTGTAACTGGTGGATCAAAGGACCGTTGTACTGCCCAGACATTCTACTGCAGATGCACAAGTACCTGCACAGCTAGGCAGACCGACTCCTCCAAAGACGGGGTTGAGTACAAGGTTTCAGACCTTCGGCAAGGGATTGAACGAGCATTCTCCTATGGTAGATAGACAGCAAAGAGAGTTCAATCATTTGACCCATGCTAAGACCCCTGTCTGCGGTCGGACTTTTCTCGGATGGAAAATGAGGTGACAGTATGAAGGCTCAAAGCATACGACGGTCTGCTTTCCCGTACGGTTATTCGGTCAATAATATTAATGAACTTCAAACATCATTGCAGCGAATTAGCGAGGGTCCATCCCTCTCGTTGCAGATCTCAGCCCTGTAGACTGAAAGTAAGTTCTGCCTCTATTGACAAGGCTGAAAGTCAATCCCGTCGCGAAGCCGATGGATCAAATCCTGTGCATAGGTGCCGACTGTTCCGCAATAAGACAAAGAAACCTGTGCTGGTCTGGAGATTGTCGGATGCGCGACGATGCTCATTCACATGATTGTTGCAGGTGTCTTCTGTAGGGGGATCTACTGGTTGGTTCTGCTTGTCGATCATGTCCTACTTCCTTGAACCTTCCCACTATTGGCGCTACTGCTGGAGTCAAAGCCAATCCCAACGTCGATTCAATAATGAGAAAAGACCATAGACTAGAGGAATACAGAAGGTTGAGAAAAGCATCTCTTGTGATCATCTGATTCTGTTACTCGGTCGGTCAGTCCATCAATGGGATCCTCGTTGGAAGCCGTGTCTCCCGGCTCGGGAAATGCCAAACCTTTGAACGAAGCTGGCCTGATAGCAATGTGTATTATCGGGTCCCTTATCCGTGATGATTCTCCGTCGAGTCAGTTGTACCTCTGATGATAACTGGTTAGAGATGTTCCTACTCTCCAAGTAAGAGACCGCCAGACTTGTGTGTTCCCCTCTCGGTCAATGCATGCAGATCGAATCGCCTGATACTTTCCTCCACATTCCAGCTGTTATTGATGATGACAACAAGGTTCTGAATTGACTTCCGACTAGTGACTACTAGCGGGATAATTGATCAGCTTTCTCAAGTCTTCACAAAAAGCCGCCTGCAGACGATCTCCTCGATTCCGCTGGTTGCCGACTGGACATCTTTCCTCATGACTCACGCAACACCAGCTCAAAAGTCTAGTCCGGCTGCAGTGAGTCCATCCTGTCCTTGTTTGTGTACGTCCTCGGACTCCATCCGGATACCTACACCTTCCCGTGCAGATCAGACCGGTTTCTGATGATCAATTTGCAGCCCGATGGGAACCCCTTTGATTGAGGATTAGGCTTCTCCCCCGCTTGTGAGACAACAGTATGCTGCATACCGCATTGACGCGATAGAATCCACTGGAACTGCCTTTGGGGCCTTCTTCCAGCATGTACCCATTACGGTATGCAAGGTGGGCTGGGTGAGCTCGGTTGCTTGTACCACCCATCTCGAGCCAATCACCGTCGTTGCTCGTTCACGGTGCAGATGAACAATCAAGTTCTGGACTCCTTGCATCGGAAAGAAAAAGAAAGCTATGACACATCTGGGGAGAGCAAGCATGTCTGTATGCTTTGTGGACTATGCCCCTTTGGCCGCAGTGCAGTGCCCGTGACGCAGGACGCATGAAGCGAACCTGGATTCCGGTTGATTCAGCTCGCTCTGATACCCCTCGTTGATGTATAAAGTCTGCGTCCAGTCCGTCCCTAACTTGCTGTCTCTTGGTATATCAACCATCGACGCGCTGGTTGGCTCTGCGGCACACGACTACACTTCGCTGCAGCACAAACTCCTGTCCCTGCCTTTACATCTTCATCTACCATCAAAAAAATAAAAGCCATGTTCTCGAGTGCCGCTGCTCGTCCGCTGCAGCTCATCACTCGCGTGATGCAGTGGTCCAGCGCTGTCGTCGTGATGGGCATCACGTCCTACTTCATCCACCTTGGTCCTCGCGGCCAGCATCTTCTCTACCAGGAAGTCATCGTATGTCTCCACTTTCGTATCCCATCAAGTCTGTATACTGACGAGATAGTCCACACTGTCGGTCGCCTTCTTCCTACCGGCCTTCATCTCCCCGTTCATGCCCACGGTCCTGAGCAAATTCGTCCTCGCTATCGACGTCATCTTCTCATACCTGTATGCTTCTCCCCTTCTCTCTCACAGCCCGATAGAAGCTAACAAAACCAAAGCTGGCTCACGGCCTTCATCTTCGCCGCGCAAGACTACAACGAGCAGAACTGCTACTTCAACGCCCCCCCGTTCATCGACTGCAGCAAGAAAAAGGCCAACGAGGCTTTTATCTTCTTGGCTTTGTATGTTCCTGCCCGCCTTGCATGCCTTTTGGGTTTTGAGAGTGTGGTAGCTAACGGCTGCAAACAGCTTCTTCACCTTCGTCGGGATGTTCCTCGAGATCGCCTCCCTTTCGGCATACCGTCGCGAGAATGCGCCCGTCCGCGAGAAGAATGTCCACAGCGCTGCGCCTGCCACTACTACTACTACGGCGGTCTAGGTGCCTGCGTTGTGATCGCTAACCGCTTTCTGCGGCTGGTATGATCGGTTAGGGGACGCCTAGCAATGAAGGATGAAGCTACGAGGTGATGACACACGAGCCGGGATTATCGTGATTCTCGTCTGGGATGAACGATGAGCAGGCTCGTATGAGGGAAGCGATGCGTGGATTTCTCGATGACGTTAATGTTTAGTACTAATACCCATACCATACCCCTAATGATGTGATGTAGTCGTTGGTTGAATGATGTTGTGGAGATACCCACGTTTGTCCGCTTTGAGTCTCAGATAACCAATTATCCTTTTCGATGATGCATTCATTCATTGATTTGAGTCTATATTGCAAGATTTCATCTTCCGATGAGATGCTTACCGTCGGAAGTGCAGTGTCTGGCAGCGTTAGTATACCATAGTCTCGATGCAGCTGTCTCGGGGCCTGAGTTGTGTGCAAGTGCGCGCTCAACAATACCTCGAAAGACCTCAATCGTCAAGGTGCGCTTTCCAGGTAAGTGTCGATGTGACGCTTCGGAAGACAAGAGTAGACAGAATATACCAGCTCGATAAAAAGCCCAGACTGCGGACAAGGCTGCTACGGAAGGCGAGGAACGGAGCGGAAAAGGGGGAACACAAGACGGACATCCTGCGAACGAAAGGACCAGGCGGAGTAGACCAGGATAGCGAGGTCACCACATCGAGCTGAAGAATAGACTGAGAAGCTGAAAGAAGGCGAAACGGAATGATTAAGTATTCGAGAATAAGGAGGCAGGTGACAAGGACGAAAGGAGATGGAGGCTCAATAAGACGAGGCTAAAGCGGAAGACAAGGGTAACGAGGAGTCGGGCGGCAGTTTGACGAGGAAATAACAAGGGAGGTCCTTGATTACATGGGGTCACTAGGTAAGTAGGTAGTGCGGTTGCCCGACAGCAATGGACGGGTCGAAAGACTTCCATGCATCTTTTGAATTGCAATGCTCAATGCGTTGTACTTCAATTCTATCGTACACTCCGAGGATCTATGTAAATCAAGTCAACCAAGATACCGCATGAACAGCCGGAACTGGTCACGTTCATGCATGCAATATAGTAGTCAGTGTCTGGTATAATGCAACAAATGAACGCTCAAAAACAAAGGACAACATCTAATCATATACTGGCTCGGCGGGGAGCCAAGGTACGTTGCAGCTTCTTCTTCTCCTCAGTCTCCTCCGGCAGAGGAAGGGACCCTTCGGTCTTCAGCTTCTCCAGGAATTGCTTGCCAAAGGCGTATCCCACCTGGTAGATCTCATCAAACTTGCCAAATTCCAACGTGCCATATCCATCTATAGGGGGACGCATGTACAGACAGCCCGGGATGTTCTTGGCGCGCTCCAGGTTGTCAATAGACGAGACATAGGCCAGACGTGCCTGGATTTCGGATAGCGTTGGCGGATTGGGACACGAGGAGAACGGGTTCCAGCGATTGAAGACGGACCAGAATCCGGAGAGGGAGTCTCCGTAGACTTGAGGTGTGTTGTCGTCGATAGAGCCCACGTCAACGGCGAAGATCACATCCGCACCGAGACCCTTCATATGGTCGACGGTCAGGTTGTCAATGTAGCCGCCGTCGAGGAGCATGCTGCCCTCATCGCAAATGGGCGGGATCAGACCCGCAAGCGACATGGATGCACGCACGTAGCGCCAGACATATCCGGAGGAGTGGTACTCGGGGCGCGATTTGCTGATGTTGGTAGTGTTGCAGTAGAACTCAAGCCAGAAATCCTCGATCTGGCTATCACCAAAGGTCTTAAAGATTCCACGGTTGAACTCGTGGCCGGTCGTGTAGGAGACCGTCGGGTACGTCAGATCCAGCGCGAACCGCCACATGCTTCCCATGCGGCCAGCAAACTTCTTCGCACGGCCATACATGGGAACCACGTCTGCATCTCGAGCATACAACGCGCCAATGAACGAACCGATCGATGTGCCGCCGATGATGTCAACAGGGATGCCGGCCTCCTCGAGTGCCTTGATCACACCAACGTGCGCAATACCTCTTGCTCCTCCTCCACCAAGCACCAAACCAACAGCTCTACCACACAGCCGGCGCGCAAGACGATGGAAATCGCCTTTGAACGGGGATTGAGCGGAATAAAGAGGTGTCTGGCGAATCCTGCGCGATGTGTACTTTTGGATTTC